TGACGGGCAGCCGCCATGGAAGGAAGGACAGCACCAGGGCAGTGAGTAAAGGTCAAGGTAGGCAGGGGCTGGGGGGCGGCCCGGATGGAGATCAGGTAGGTGTGGAGGGTACGAGCCGGGCCTGTCTGCACAGAACACAGGTTTCCTGCTCACGGGGCGGTTAGGCCTGCACCTGCTCTTCAGGGGAGTACGGACTTACAGAGGGCCTCGGTTAGGGCGCACTCCGGCCCAGCTCTTTCTCCAGGGTGCTGTGGGCGCTACCCCCGGCCTACCACACAGGTGCGAAGCCTCCTTCCCTCCCCGCCCTCCCTCCCCCACTTCTGTCAGTCACCAAGCTCTCTGGTTCTGCGGTGGCCTTCCCATTGTGGCCACACTGCTCTCGCTGTATCCCAGCTCCGTGTCCCCTCCTCCTCCTGCCCCCCTCGTCCATTTGCTCTCAGTCCTAAAGCCCAGACAGCTGTGCTTCTCCCACTGCCCACTCGAGTGTCGAGCAGTTCTCCAGTGCTTGGCAAAGTAGAACCAAGTTGGTGTGGTCCTGGTAAAATCACCTTCAAGAACTACGGGCACTGCATTTCATTCAGGCCCCTTGAGATCCGCTTTCCTTGTCAGGCTCACTGTATTGTGCCTTGTTTTGCCTGTTAGTCTCCACTTGTGCCGTCCCTCCAGGAATGACCTTCGCTGTATCTGTCAAAACCCCATCCATTAGGGCAGACCATGATGCGACATCTTCCATTCGCCCTCTTCCAGCAGGGATAGCACGGTTAAAGGCCTCGGGCCCTGCCAGGTTTCTCACTGTGGAGAAGAGCTATAGATGAGGAGGGTAGTGTAGCTCGAACAAACCCTTCATTTTTTACGGATTTCATGAGTCCTAAATAGCACCCCCCAGTGTGGTATTGATGCCAATCTAGTTCTGTCCAGCCTGGGATCATGAGCATCCATGCGTACAGACACAGTTCCAGATGCGAACCTAGAACCTTCCCGCGTGACGGCCTCATAGGAAATAGCCTTTTACCCCGGCACCATCTGACCCCCACAGGACCAACCTTCCGCTGCATTGGAAGGGGTGTGAACTCATGTTCTAATGCACATACAGGTAGAGATGGAGCTGAGTAGACTGTGTGCGAGTGCCAGAGTTTGTAAATACACATGTATATCCTCACCCTGTCACGGGGAGGCCTCGCAGTGACACCACCGTAGCAGTGAGCTCATATAGTGCCCAGGTCTTGGGTTTCTCAGTACTGTTCTCCAGTTCCCTGGGTCAGGGGGACACCAGGAGAGCCTGGAATACATCGTGGTACCATAAACTAGGACAGGACACAGGAACCGACTTGAAGGAGCAACCGGTGCTCGGTTCTGCAAAGGACTGTACGCCGTAGAGTAATCTGTGAGCCCATACTAGTATAAATGATTCAGTATGCACATACGGAAAGACTCTCCCTTATAACAGAATTCCAATTCATGTTGAAGGGATCGTGGAGAAGGAAAAATCACCATTGGGCAAACACCATAGTAATTGTTGTAGGCAAGAATGGAGGCAAAAATAAGTGTATTTGCACTGTCTCAAAATCTCACCACTAGAAACTTAGTTATAAAAGGAAACAGTAACTTTATGGTGGAAAGATTACCCCATCCACCCTAGTAGTAAGTCACCGTCTTCTGATGAGGCGCTGAGGGACCCATGTCACTGTGGTGGCCTTGCATCACTTCAATCTAACCAGGAGCAAGAGCAGGCAGCCCCAAACTGGGGAATTCCACAAATTAATCTATTGTGCCAAAGGGACGGGTCACTGTGCCCCATACACGTGTACAGACATGAAGGGGCAGGTCATAGGCAGGTCCCATGGTGCAGTGATTAGGCCCTGTGCATAGCCAGCTGGATCCCATGTGCTCAGCCACAGTTGCAGGCCTGGCCCTGCAGCTGGAGAACATGCCAGGCACATGTGTGTGCATCCATCCCCCAGATCCTGACAGGATGTAGGAATGGAGGCAAAAGGATTGTGGCGTGACCATACCCCATAGGAGGCGTTTTCTGGCGATGCAAGATCCTGGGCTGGGAAAAGACCTTGCTAGGGGAAGCCAGCAAAATCCTGGGAAGGTTTGCTGATTAGTTAAGTGTTTGTAGCAGTGTTCATTTCCTGGTTTCAGTAATTGTATTTTGGTAAAGTCAGGTGTTAACATTAGGGAAAACTGGGTGAAGAGGAACTCTTTTGCAACTTTTCTAAAAGTAAAATTTCAAAATGTTGAGAGGGGCGGACAGGCTCAGGCTCTCAGAGCTAACTGGACTGTATTCTCAGGCCTGCCGCCTGAACTGCTAGCGGCAGTTTACGCTTTAATCCTGAGCTGTCCCTAGGTTCCCCATCTCTAACATGGGGGGCAGTAGTAATAGCACCTTCCTCAGGGGTTTATTGACAGCCTGGAAGATGCGCCTGGGACATTCTGTGCCGGAAAATAAAAGAAGTGCTCAAAGAATGACAGGGACACGTTTACGTGCCAGGGGCCAGCATGAAGAGGATCTCACTGGCCAACTATAGAACAAAAACATCAAGAAATAAATGACAGTCATGGATTATAATCCACTGATAAGCACGAATCATGAATCCTTACTGATATGAATTAATAAATTAAAAGCTTGATGGGAGAGGGCCAGCAGATGGTGTGGTGGTTGAGGTGGTGTGGTGGTTGAGGTGCTGGGCTCCCACATGGCCGACCATGGTTTGAGTCTCAGACCTGGTGGCTTGCTCTCTCTTTCTCTCTCTTCTTTCATCAAATTCAAAATAATAAGAAAATTAAATATTAAAAAAAAAGCTGGATGAGAGACAGGGAATTGACATCTCGAAAGTGTTCCTCCTCAGGTACTTAAGGCACTGGATTACCACATGACTGATCGCAGTTCAAGTCCCAGACCTGGTGGCTTACTTTCTTGCTTTCTTTCTCTCTCTAGTGAGAGCATATGGTCTATAGCTAATAATAATAATGATGATAAATTAATTCTTTTAATTATTTTTGAGAGAGATCTTTGTCATAGGGCACGTGCACTTGCCTGAGAGACAGATTGTGGCCATGCCACAATCTCTTCTCCTCCATTCTCCTGTTGGGATTTTGGGCACACACACACACGCAGGTGCCTGATGTGAGTTTCAAGCTTCTTGGTCCGGGGCTCAAACCATGTGGGAGTCCAGCGATGTAACTATTACATTATCTGCTGGTCCCAAATTAAATAATTCTTTACAAGAAAAAAAAAAAAAAGGTCC